ACAAGTGCTCTTGACTCCTGTATTAAGCTTATTCTCTTAACATAAATATCTAAATAAACTATGAGGTAAAGAAGAAAGAAAAATAAAATTTTTAAATATATACTACTAGGACTTCACAAAAAGACTACAAAACTAATGACATACATCCAAAGCAGTTCTCAGAACTGCTTTATATATGTACTGGAAAATAATAAATGAATATTTAAATTCAAAAAGTTTCAAAAAGAGTAGCAAATCTAGAGAAGGTAAAAACAAATAATTATGATGAATTTAAATGCAAAAATAAAGAAAACTAAAACCATAGAAATTTTATTTTTTACGTTTGGATAGCTGAAGAGATTAATTAGAAATGAAACTCCTGACAACCATGATCAACAAAAATCAAAGAGACACAAGAAACAATATAAAGTAGGATACAAGGACAGACACAGAGGAACAAAATACTTATAAAAGCATATTTTGAACAACTATATATGAATTTATTTTTAAAAGGTATATAAAAAGGGCAGATTTGGAGAAAAGGATATATTACCATAATTAGACAAGAAATAGAAAATGTACTAGAATAAAAACCCCATAAAAAAGGAAATGCTAGTAGTGAAAAACCTACTCTTTCCAAAAACAAAGACATGAAAAACAACATCATGCTCGGAGGATAGAAAGGTGTGAGATTTTGCCAGCATTTAAAGAGGCTGCTAATTGCAAATCTTTCATACCAAAAATAGCCAAGTAGGAAAAGATAATTATCGGCCAATAATGGATAGATGAAAAAATAGTAAACTGAATTCAGCAGTACATAAAAAGATCAAGCAAGGGTTTCCTTTAAAATGTATGAATGAGCCAACATTTTAAAAATCTATTAATGTAATTCATCCCTAACAACTTAAAGAATAAAAAAACATATGATTATGTCAATGAATGCAGAAAAGAAACTAGTTGAAAATTTAACAGACCATTTATGATAAACTTGCAAACAAATCAGGAATAAAAGGGAACTTCCTTATATCTGCCAGAGATCTATAGCAAGCATCATGTTTACTGGTTAATAAAACATGAAAAGCATTTAAAGTCTGAAAAAAGACAAAAAGTATCTGTAACTGTTAGTATTGAATATTATATTCCATAACCAAATGCAATGTGAACAGAAATAAATAAGAGAGATAAAAATCAGAACAGAAAAGACAAAGTTGTCAAAATGTGCAGATGATGTAATCGTCAATATATTTTTCTTCTTTGTCAGAAAAAAGCCTACATTCATCCTAGATTTTCTTAGCCTTTTTCCTCTAAACCCATCTTTCTTCAGATACACACCCAATAAAACTTATATTTTAAAAAGTCAGTCACTTTCCTGTTCATAATTTCAGTATTGGGGTTTTCTTTTCTTTCTCATAGGTTTCAATTCCATTCTATTTCTAATTTCAAAGAGCTACATATTTAAATAGCTACCAGGAGAACTATAAAGAAGAGACATTGACAAAAAAGGCCCAAGATTAACTGATTATTTCAAGGTCTTGATAAGACTTGCTGCCCAATTTTAAGCCTTCCTTAACTGCTCCCTAAAGGATTTCAAACAGTCCTAATGAAGTTACACACTGGCCATTCTCAAGCAATCATAAATATGCCGTAAATTCATCTCTTGCCTGTGGGACTTTGGATCTTAATAGCTTATGAGCTCAAGTATTTCCAGTTTCTGTTGGGTAAATGTTTGAGGGCCTTAAGAGAGATTATGTGGAATTGAACTGAATGCCTGGTAACTCTTCCATGCTTGTCAGTCTCTCCCAGCTTACTTGGCTTGTCAAAGACACCACAATAAACTGCTTTCAAATATTTATTTCTCAGTATGTTGGTGCTCAGAAAGGAAATCCTTTCCATTTTCTGAGTCTCTAAGAGATAGGTACAAACTGAGCACCAGAACTAGGAATTACTGAAGAGCCCAAGTCTTAGGGTATCCTGGGGGATTTGATATCCAATTCTCTTCTAACCTTCAGAAAGGGCTCACCTTCTAAAAGAAGAGCAAGGATGGGTCAGTTGATCGTCTAAGTGCTGGAGAGAGAAAGAGAGGGCTACAGGAATTACTTCAGTAAAGGTCTTCCTTCTGATCTTCCTCAAGGAGAAGGTGCTCAGCTTTTTGTGGGTAACACACAGGGGTGGCCAGGTACTGCAAAGCAGGCAAAACTGGCGTACACTACAGGTACAGTGTTCCCAGTTTCTGCTGTATTCTATGTTCCTAGCATGCGAGAGACATTCTACGAGTATTTGCTGAAGAAATCAGTAAATGAATGAGTCATGGTTCCCACAACATTCAAATTGAAGAGGCCTCAGAGTTGGTCCTTCAGCAGTTAGGACAGAGAGACCCTGGAGTGTGAGTGATTTGTCTCATGAAGCTGCATCCTTACACACGATGGGTTCTGAGGCCCTCCCCATAATGCGATCATAAGGCATGAGGTCCTCTTCAACCACGGAGCAGTGCAGGACCTTATGCTGATGCAAATACTTCATTCCTGTGGGAAAAACCAAGACTGTCTAGTACTATCTGTATGATTGTTGATGAGCCACTTTTATAATGAGATCCCCAGACATCAGAGTGTTTGATTGTGCTATTGCTGCCTTGCAGACCGTCATTGTGGTTTTGGGGAGAGGGATTCCAGAGTCCCGGGAGAATGGTCCTCTTGGGCAACCAGCAATTCAGACTTAAAGGGACAGGGCAATGGAGAGGTGCAGGAGAGCCTGGTGCTGCTTTCTGTATGTTTGTTACTCCCAGATCTGACTGATCAAGGAGATAAATTAACTGACACGTCCTGGTAGATTCTGTTTTACTTCTAGTCCTCCATTTCGGAAAATTCTCTGTGTGCTGTGTCTGTCACAGTACAATAGGAGTCCTGGAAATTCTGGTTTCCAGTCTCACTCTCCTAAATCCTGAATACGCCTCTGTCCTGCCCAGTGATATATAAGTCACATTTCAGGACTTGATAATGCAGGGATTCTTGTTCTGTAACTAAATGTGACCTCATGGCCCTCATCTCATAACCTCATGACCCTCATCACTCTCTTTTATCTCCTGAGATAATTATCAAGTGGAAAAAATGAATATACAGCTGTGTCACAAAACTTAGGAATCAAAAAGCATAAATAGTGAAAAAAAAAAAAATCACCCAGAAAGGATAATCTGGGTATCAGTCTTAAGAAATCATGGGCAAAGTTTCCAAAGCCTAAATGCCTTATCCAGCGTATTCCCATTGAAATGCTGTCCAGTCTCTTCAACCCTCAACAAACCATCTCCATCCCAGATTGTGCCACTCAGCTCTTCTTCATAGCAGTCTCTGAGATAGATATTAGCACAGTCTTTATCTTACAAGTGAAGAAATTGAGGCCTAGAGAGGTGAGAACTGTTTCCAAGGTCATATATGAGTCAGTGGGGCTTGAGTTTGATCACAGAGGTATTTAACTCCAGACTACCCTGCCCCCAATACCCACACATTTCAAAATCTAGAGTTGGAAGAGAAGTGAGTATGGAAAGTAAAGACCGGACCTTCCAATAGGGATTGAAGAAATTAATAACAACAACCATCCACGAACATGAAGAAAAGAAAGAGAGGAAAAAAAAATAAGGGGTGTGTGTGTGTGTGTGTGGGTGTATGCCTGGATGGCCAAGCATACAAGTAGAACCCAGAGTTATGGCGAGTGGGGAAGGGAAGGACGGAAGAAGGGAGAAAAGCAGAAATTTAATGTAGTATTTTCCTGTTATGTATCAGGAACTGCACTTGGCAATTTACATACCTTAATTCATATGATCTCCATAGCAACACTATGAAGTAGATATTATTATTCTATTTTATAGATGAGCAAATGGAGACAAATGAAACGAGCAAAGAAATTCAGGCTTCCCTCCATTTACACTGGGGTTAAAGCCAGAGATTACTATGAACTTAAATATTTTGTTGTTTCTATTGCTGTTGTCTTATAGTTACTAGTATTTTAAATCTGTAAAAAACCTTCCAAGACTTTATTGTGTTTAGAGACTAAAAAACAGAAGCAGAAACTACCTTCACACAAAACGGGGAGACTCGGGTATTAAACACGTGATATTTGCGGCTATTGGAAGAAAGCAAGACTGAAAAGAGAAGTGGCTACACACCACAGAATGTTCTAGGTCAGCACACTGGACTATCCACACGGGAGAAAAGGGGTGTCTCCTCTCACTTCCTTATTCCAGACACCGGCCACTGTGAATTTGAACCTTGAGAGAAGGCAGTGCTTTCTACCTTGACTTACTAAATGGAAGCCCTTCTGAACACAGATGGAGCAGGTTTTGAGGAGAGGAACTCCAGAGTCCTGGGACACAGGAGAATGGTCCTCTCTTGACTTCCCAGGAGTGTGCCTCACACAGCCATCTGTTCTTAGCTTGAACTCATTCACTCTTTAGGTACGTCCCTTTGCACTGGCCTTCGACAAGCAATGTGCCATTGCTGATTTAAACCAGGTAAGTCTGAGTAGAGTTTCAGGCCTGGGCACACGTATTCAGTGCTTTCTCTGGTCTACATCTACATCTAGTTAAACCAGTTAGGGATTTCCAATACATACAGTCTCTGACTTTATAATAGTGTGAGAATGATATGCATATAGAAGAATTTATACTTCATGTACCTATACAACCATTTGGTTTTTCACTTTCAGTACAATATTCAAAAATTACCTATGATATTCAACACTTCATCATAAAATGGACTTTATTTTAGGTGATTTGCCCAGTTGTAGGCTAATGCAAGTGTTCTGAGTACATTTAAGTTTAGCTAGGGCAAGCTATGATGTTCAGTCAGGTGTATTAAATGCATTTTTAACATGATATTTTCAACGTATGATGGGCTTATCAGGATGTAGCCTCATCATACATTGAAGGGCATCTGTACTCAGTTTTCATAATTGCTTCGTGTCAACATACATATACTACATCTGTCCCCAAGTCTCAGGGCCCAGAGAACCTTGATGGGTCTTTCAGCACTTGCCCGTGTCTGAATGTTGAGAGCATCTGAAACCCAGAGTTACACCCCATTTCTGTGCCTGCATATGGCTGATGATCATCCTGGACCAGCCCAGTGTTTCCAGCCTGGATGCTCAACATTGCCACCTCATCTCTTTCAGACTCAGATTCTCCTCAATGCCAAGGCCCAATTTCATGGCTGTGACAGAGTTTACATTTGAGGGTTTCTCCATTTTTGAGTGGCATCACAGACACATCCTCTTTGTGGTCTTTTTGGTCTTGTACCTTTTGACCCTTGCCAGCAATGCTATCATCTTGACAGTTATCCGTCTTAACCATCAATTTCACACACCCATGTATTTCTTCCTGAGTGTGCTGTCTATTTCTGAGACCTGTTATACTGTGGTCATCATCCCACAAATGCTGTCCAGTCTCCTCAGTCCTCAACAAACCATCTCCATCCCAGGCTATGCCACTCAGTTCTTTTTATATCTCACTTTTGGTGTCAATAACTGCTTCCTGCTCATGGTCATGGGGTATGACCACTATGTGGTCATCTGTAAGCCCCTACGGTATTCGGTCATCATGGGCAAAAAGGCTTGTATACAACTGGCAAGTGGATCCTGGAGCATTGGCCTGAGCACAGCTATCATTCAGGTGTCTTCTGTGTTCAGCCTTCCCTTCTGTGATGCTAATCTCATCTCCCATTTCTTTTGTGATATCCGGCCCATAACGAAGTTCACCTGTGCAGACACTACTATCAAGGAATTTATTACTTTGCTCATCAGTCTCCGTGCCCTTGTTCTGCCCATGGTCTTGATCTTAGTCTCCTATGTCCTAATTGTCACCACCATCCTCAAGATTGTATCAGCTGAGGGCCGGAGAAAGGCCTTTGCTACTTGTGCCTCACACCTCACAGTGGTCATTGTCCACTATGACTGTACCTCTTTCATCTACTTAAAACCCAAATCCCAAAATTCCCTGTAGGACAGACTTATCTCTGTGACATACACTGTTATTACTCCTCTGCTGAACCCTGTTGTATACAGCCTGAGGAACAAAGAGATCAAGGATGCCTTGCTCAGAGCTTTGGGCAGAAAGCCTCTCTCTTAGGTGCTGGTCATTCAATAACAGTCAAAGAAAAAGAATTTGATGAGGTGTCACAGTGAGGAGAACAATCAGATGAGAGACAGTATGAGAGCACCAGGTGGCTGATCTAGGCAGCATCTAGGAATCTATTCATCTCATAGATTGAAACAAGGAAGAAAAATATTAATGAAAAAAGAAATAGATGGATTTACCAAGTCAGATATATGGGTTTACCAAGCATGATGAAAATCAAATAAGATAAAGGGTATCCATGCACTGCCCTATCATGTTAGATGTTATTCCTCTTACTCTTGGCATAAGGTATCGTAAACCAGTAGGGAGAATAGGAAGAATATATACTATCATATCATAGAAGTTTATGTAAGATGGACTTGACTTCATGAATGACACAAAGGGTACAAAAGGCCACCACCCCCTCTTGTCTGAGGATGGGACCAACTCTAGGGCACAATTCTAGATCCCTCCATTAGATCAGGCTGAAGTTACGCTCCAGCTAAGACCGTGTTCTTGCATAGTGATTCCCCTTCCCCATCCTGCTTCTCTCATTCCCTTTCCTCTGAGGGCACTCCTTAGTCAATCACTGTAACCAAGACCTTATTTCACACTCTGCTTCTGTGGAACCTGACCTAAGCAAGGTGGTACCTATGTCTACGGGGCAATTACTCAGACACTGCAAGTACTCTTTTTGCATCTGTTGCACTTAGAGCAGTGCCTGGTGCATAGTAGATGTTAGGTATTTATTAAAAGGAAGAAGGAAGGAAGGAAAGAAAAAGGAAAGAAGACTGCTGTGAGCAGCTAAAATACAATTAAAAGGTAGCTCTTCTCCCTTGTTTTCCTTTTATTATTTTAACACTTTCAGGCTGCTTGCCCCTCTTTGTGACATCTCCTTTTGGTACATTTATTGAATGTATCCTAGATAGTAGCTATTATTTTAAGTATGTTATTCATTTAATCTTCACTATAAATCTATGACATAGATATTTTATTATCCTTTTTTATGGATGAGGAAACTGAGACCTCAAATAAGTTAATTTCTCAAGGCAGAATCAGGATTTAAACACATGCAGCCCAGCCCTGAAGTCTGTAGTTGCATTGTAAACTCATGATGTTCATTTTAACCAGCTTTTTCCTCTATAATAACTAAATTATACTACTCCATACTCCTAGGAAAAGGAGGAGCCTCCACCCCATTCCAAATTGTGGATTTACACATATCTCGGATCCTGTTCACGATATCTTTGGACTTTACAATCAGTCTGGAAGTTCAATAATAGTGTATTATAATACACTCCATTTCCTAAAATAGCTTGGTGTATCCCTTTTTCACTCAGCACAACCCCAAAGAGGAAAATAGGAAAGGAAGTTTAAAGTGGGCCAAGAACTGTTATTGTTTACCCTGAACTCCCGCTCTAAGAACCAATGACCTTGAGTAGGAGATACTAAAACAGTATGATATTGTAGGTAGAGTACAGGCTTCGAACAGAGAGGCATACATTCTCAATCATAGATCCGCCATTACAAGCATGTGTCCTGTTATGATACTTAACCTCCCTAGTTTTTGTTTCCTATCTGCATGGTAAGGCTGACAATATCACCTCCCAGGGTTGCTGTGAGAAGTCAACAATGTTATGGACCTCTACATGGGAAGCTATCAGCACCTTCTCCACCACCACTCTCCACAGACATTACTCCTGGGTCACTCTGAGGTCAACATCAAGTCACTCCTGATGTGGACACAGAGCCCTAGCTTTAACAGTAGGATTCTCATTTGTTCTTTGTCAATAGAATTTCCTTTTACCCAGGAGGTCTTGACTTTGTAACTGGACTTCTCTTATAGTCCCTGATCCTGTGTTCTGGTAAAAGGAAACTAACTATTCTTCCAGTGTCTTCCAAGTACTGCTTCCTGGATATACCCAGGACTTTATTTCAGGCTCTGCTTATGTGGAACTAGACCTAAGCAAAGTGGTATCTATGTCTATAAGGAATCACTCAGACTTCACTCTGAGTGCTCTTTTTGTGGTTAATAAACCACTAAAAGCACCTGTCTGCATTTCTCCTCCAGATTCCTTTTATTTATGCCTGCCTTACTGACCTGCCAAATACATCTCATATCATTCCCTCTTCTCTCCTAGTTGTCTCAGAGTCACTGCAAGAAGTCCCAGGGTTTCTGTGTGCGTCAATTCTCACATGCAGTCTGAATAAATACTGACAAAAGCATCTGCAAGTATTTTTTAAAGTACCATAATTCATTTGAAAGCGCCAATTACTAATTCATAGTTCTCCTTTTCAGAACTTATTTTTCCTATCAATAGGTACAAATAGTACAACTATTATTATCCAAACATTATCAATTTGGAGATCCAAGAAATATTTGAACGTAAAAAGTGGTTTTCATACACAGACAATTTGGACACGCCAGCTCTAGGTGACAGAAATAGTGTGGAAGATGGTGTGGGAGTAGACATAACTTTAGGAACCTAGTTAAATCTGTTTTGAGCCCTATTCGGGGCCCTGAAAGACTCCCATTGACAATTCCAAAGCCTTTTTAAGAGGTCTAGACCCAGGATCCTAAGCTAAATTGAATGCCATAAACAAACTATAATAAGAACCACTGGAATCTGCTCCCCAAATAAAGCAGTCTGCAGAACTAGAAGATTTTATACAGCAAGTTCTTTTGGCTGTTTTGCCAGCTTTGTTTCTATAGTCACTCCACATGTGTTCATTTTTTTCTAGCATAAAATCCCAATATATTTGCTATTGGTGGCAGATTGGACTTTCTGTACATCTCTAATCTGTAAAATTAGATACTGCTACTGACTTCAGAGGGTTATTTGGAGGCTTATGTGAGACAAAAATCTGTGAAAGTGTTTGATAAATATTAATTGCTACTGAAGTGGTATACCTGTCCTTTTTTCCAAATAACACATTTTTATATCATCAACCCAGTCCCCCATTTCTACAATCTCCCTAATTTGTCCCAAAGCAATAGTATCATAAAGCCTTGAGCTCTTTTGCCCAATTCCACTCCTTTCCTGTTGAGATCTCATAGCCACCAATGATATCTAATCACGAACCTTTAATGTGCAGATCATCTTCTTTGATTCATCTGTTACAAGAAGAAGCTATATATATTTATAAATAATCAGAGAGTCGGCATGAATGAACCTGATGAGAGCAGTTTATGAAATTATTGGTTCTTTCCTCTCCTTTGAGCCACACATTGATTCAGTTACAAGTCCTATTGATTTCCCTCAGATGTCTCTCACATGTGTCCCTCCCCTCTGGGCCAACTGCCACACCTTTAGATCAATCCCAATTATCTCTGTTACATCAGCAGCCTAGTTGATTTTTCTTCCTCTTTTTTGCCAACTTCAAATCCATCTTCCCACCTCACAGGTCAATATACCAAATCCCAGTGCAGGCTATGTTTATTTATTTACTTATTTATTTTCAACAAGGAAGCAAAATCACCAGAAAGACCGGAAGAGGGCATACGATCGTTAGTGGTTAAAAAAAAAAAAGAGAATCACTTCCTTGAGAGGGCAGTTGCTAAGGAACTTTAAAGTCTAAGAGCAGGAGAGATAAGTGAGAATCACTTGAGAGGCTCTTAAAAGTGATACATTCAAATACTCTTTTGTTATCTGTTCTCACTTTACCTACACAATGTAATTTTCCATAATCAACCTGAGTGTAATCAAGGACTATCTCCTCCCTGTATCACTTACAGTTACATTTCAGTTGTTATGATTGTCTATCACCTGCAACTAAACCATGAGCTCCTCAAGGTTTGCTGCAGCACCTCGTCCATTTCTGTATTTCCAGCAACTAGCACAGGGCCTGACATATGCTCAGTGCTTAAAGAATGAATGAACGCAGATAAATATCACATGAAAGACTAAGAAATTGTTAAAGAAGTAATAAACAACTCATGGAAAGTATTCAGTGAGAAGTAAATTTGGAGTTGGGTCTTCACAGACAATTAGAAGCCTACAAAATAAAGGGAAGAAAAATCTGGGTAAAGAGAACAGAGTTCGAAAGCTAATTGCTGTTTCCTAGCCTTCAGGAGAAAACTTTTGGATCTAAAGATAGTGTACTCCCAATCCTGAATGCCACAGGGCAAAGACAGGCACCATGAACTGTCCTCTGCAGAATGATGACCATATTTAAATACTTCTATTCCAAAAAGAAAACCAGATTCTTATACTAGATAGAGTTCCTGCCTATAAGCAAAAGATCCTAAATTTCCTGAAATCCAAGGTGGTATGGCTCTAAGCCTGAGCTGCCTAGATTTGTCAGTATGGATTTCTGAGACACATCTGCAAAAAAAAATAAAAACTAAAAAATAAACCACTTGCACACATGCACGCTCACTTATTCAAATAATTAAAAATCAACTAAATAAACCAGCTTCCTCAAATATTATTCCAACTTGAAGCAAAGACTTTCCCCAGGCTCCCCAAGCACTAGCCTGGAATTGAGTAAATGAGCCTTATACATAATGAGACCTCCAGGTACCTGTTATCTGTATCCTCCCAGCCCCAGGGTGGCTCCCAGAATGTCTTCAGGGAGTGACCCCCAGAAGCCCAGCTGCCTGATCCTGGGAGAGCATCTTCTCTGGCTTCAAAGACTTTTCCACACAGAGGGGTTGTCAAGAATGCCTGTGACTCTCAAACCTGACTATATTCCTACTAGAGTGTGTTTATGCCCTGCCTGCTCAGCCTCAGGTCCTGCCGTAGGCACTCTTGGTCACCTTGCTCACCTTGGTCACCCTGTGCCTATCCATTGTGGCCAAGGGAGCCTGATATTTCAATCCTTACTCCTCAGCCTCCTCTAGCCCAGCTCTCCTGTTGTGCCTCAGTGCTAAGCAGAGTCATGTGAGTGGTCTTTAGAAGAAGGATTGAAATGGGGCTCATTACGTATGGGCTGACTTTAATTTATTATAGTATTTCAGCTCCTATCACAGCCGGACAGGTCTTCATAAGCTATATTTGCTCTTCCTTCCATTTCCTTTGAAGAATTATAGGCTTCCAAGAGTTGGGAGGATGCTAACCAAATCATAATAGCCATTCTTCTACCTCAAGAAAGACAAGTTTCAGTCAGATAAGATGACATTTTAGCCATGTGTTTCTCAGTGGGAACTCTATCGGTGTTTGGAATAAGACAATTCTTTCTTGGACAGAACCACCACAAGTTTTGCAGGACATTTCACATCTTGAATGGCCAAGAGCTTCTGTGCTCATTATTGTAACAGTTAAAAGCTCTGCCAAGCATTTCTGATTTCACCATAGAGGCGCCATACCACTCCGCGGCTGGACTACTACATAGTTTTTGCTCAGAAGCCTCACAGAAGACAAATGTCTTTAGACATATATTTTAGTATCAGATGATTTTCTTTATTGGAAAATATTCTCTATTGCAGCTTTACTTTCTCTTTAGCATTCTTAGTGTAAATGATTAACAGCTGGTCATCAACGTCTTTTAAATAGATTTTTATGAACTTGAAGAAAGTCTCCATGCGTACTAACCTTCATCATTGATGTGATTTACTTTATGCAAAACTTCTCTTTCTGAATATGCATAAGCAAATCAGAATATAATTTAAATACCCTACAGAAGCTTACTGTTTAAAGAGATAAAAATGTGAAATATTACATAAATTGAACTCATCCCCTTCCTTCAACAAAATGATGTACCTTTGGTGTAGCTGTTTTTTCATATTCAGGGTCTGCTTTTGCTTTAGGTGAGGGACACTTAAATTTGCTGTATCTTTCCTGATACAATTGTTTATCTCTGCAG